TATTGTTCGATTGAACTCGACCTAACACACACACGTTCTATCTATTGTGACCGATATAAACGCACATTTCAATTTGTTGGCAGTCCACACACACACACACACACACACACGTGCGACTTCTTATCAAGGTAAACCAAATAATGTCCAAATTCTCAGCTACTGGAATTCGATTTTCGATTCTGGTAATCTAGGGAAACAGTAGCCAAAATATTGCTATTAACGCTTCTATAAGGTAAATAGGTGCGTATCTATAGATTCGTGTAAATATTTAAATTTTGTAAAGAAAATCTGGCACACACGGGAAAGACAAACATGAACAAACGGAGATGTTCGATAAAAAAAAATGTCGAAACTTCTTCCGGCGCGACAGACAACAGATATTTAATGGGGCGCCATTTGGTATATGTTTAAAGTGAGTTTATGTTTGAGTTTCGGAATTTTTTCACTCAAATCAAACTTAAACCCTTTGTTGAACAATTTTCACGTTTGTCCATAATGTTACAGATCGTGACTAATAAGCCACGGGGTGTCCCCGCAGCCAAACAACTTTCAATTAATATGAAAACTTTTCTGGTATATGTACATATATGTTAATGCCTATATGAAGGTACATACAATGCAGGTAAATTTTGTGCATTTCATGTTCAAAACAAAAAAAAAAAAGAACCGAAACTGCAGCATTGCATGACATGTGAAAAGTTCAAGTTGACAGGCGGCCAATAAAACTGACAGCATAAATGGATTTTGGATTAGTGAGTTTTGTGAGTTTTAGTCAAGTCAGCGAACGCATTGAAATGACCAAAATTACCAAAATGAGAGAAAGCATTTTCCAGCCAAATATGTTACACACCCCCGCACTCAAATGGTTCACAGTTTACCAAAGGGTTAAATAGGGGGTAGATAAGTCAATTAGTCCTGCGAGCTATGAGAATTTCTATACCCTTTTTAGAGCTATTTCCAAATTTTCATTAAATGTATAAGGCCTGATGCTAGTACTACATGATATCATTATATAAGCAAAGATTACCATCTCCTACCAATTCTATTTCCTCTAAACACAGCATTTGCATATCACACTTTACAGGGAAATAATAATATTAATGACAATATATATATATATTTTATTAACACTGTAAGCGTATTTAGCCTGCGGCACACTCAAGCACACAAATTCCCTGCGTTGTTGGGATTTAGTTTAATATATTTGACTGACCTTTCGCTTATTTGACCAACGGTCAGCTGGCACTCGGCCCAGGATCTGACCATCTGCTGACCTTAGCACACAGTCGTATTCGGCGCATATTGCGAAATGTTGCTGGCCGAATGTCAAATTAGGTTTAGCAATTTTGATTTCTACCGACAGCAGGCCATAAATTATATATATACTTTGAATCGTTTAACTGCCTAGGTGATCAATCAAATCGTCACCAATATAACATACTAAGCCCAAAACGCGATCGTCCAAAATTTGTTTTGCCACCGGGCATTTATGATTGCGATTAGGCAGCCACTGGCTAATTGTCGTCTGCTGTTGCTTGAGCAAGCAATTAAAACAATTTACTTTTAATTGCAATATAATTTTCTATTTGCACTCGAATTAAGGCACATTATCAACTGAGCCGCTGCCAGACACCAGAGCCCACATCGGACGCTCGTGCACTGCCCGACGTCTGCCCAGTTAATCGCCATCGGCCTCGCCCATCCGCCTCGCCCATCCGCCCGCCCCGCTCTGTAATGCATGCCCAGACTAGTCTTTGGCTGGGGGGGATCTGTGTAAAGTGCCACTGGCGCCTACATATCATAATATTGATAATATCGCACCAAAATGGCCGCCAATTGTTGAGTCACTTTGTTTGGGCAACGCAAAAAGTTTAATTTACTTGATTTTGTCCAGATCCAGATTCAACAATTTGTTGTATTTTAATTCGATTAGAATTTAAAAAATTGACTTTGTTCTAGATACAATTTTTGTACTTTCTAATTATAAGCTTTTATTCAAATGTGGCTGTGTTCAATATTTGGTTATCCACTTATTTATATACACATATGATATATGATAATAAAAAAATATATTTGACATTGATTAAAACTAGTTCTAAAACGAACAGAAATTTTGCACATAGAGCCATAATCAAGACAGTTTATCTAACAAGTTTTAGTTTGATTATATCTCATTACGATACCATTATGATGAATTGTTCGCAATCAGTTAACGCGGCTCTTAAGCAACTCATAAATAATCCCCAGAGTTACCCATGTTGGAAAACACTTGAGACTTTCATTCACTTTCTTTTCACACGAGAATTTATCAAAGTTATGCAAAAGTCAACAACAAGAATTGAGTTAAACCTGCAATTGTAATTAAAGCTAGTTGCGATGTTATCAAATTACATTGACTTTGTTGCCATCTAAACGATGGTGCCTCACGCTCCATGCCACATGCCCCCGCATGCACACCCGCACACGTGCAACCCGAAGCCGGCAACTCGGGCACCCTCAGAGCTGTTGTTGCTGCGGCGGTTACTGCAACTTTTGTTCTTGTTTACATTGATTGTCAGCAGTGTCATTTAAGCGCCATGCCACCATGGCACCATGGCGCTTAGCAGCCGCTCGCCCGCGCCGCCGCCGCCCGTGCAAACACACAGTTGCTGCCAGCGGATGGCCTTGTGCATGTGCACCGGGTGAGTCCAAGCATAACTGAGTTGCCCGTACATTTCTTCAACACTGTCAACAGTAGTCGCAGTTGGCGTAGACGGAGACGTAGCCGCCGACGCCGACGCCGGCAACAGCAGCAACAGCAGCAACAGCAGCAGCAGCAGCAGAGGCGGCGACACGTCAGCTCTGCATTGCATGCATTCAAGTGGAAGCGATCCACCGATAATGCTCTCTAAAACTAATATTACACAGTAGATATCGTTTGGCGCCGGACGCGGACGACAGTATAAGGCGACAGTGCCGCCGCCAACTGGCCGCGACATGTTTGACATGCCGTGCGACACCAAGCAGAGCGCCCAGTTAACCAGCAAATGCTCTGGCAGCTCCATGCCCGTAACCCATACCCAATACTCAATACCCAATACCCAATGCTCAATACTCGATACCCATACCCATACCCATTACCCAAATGCCGGGGCATTGATAACCGGAATGCGACATTCAGTCGCTGCCGTTTGTTTGCTGGAAAATTCAAATGTAGCCCAAGCCACTCACAACGTAATCCTTGGGCTTGTTTTCTTAGACATGCCTGCTGCTGTACGAGTGTGTGAGTTTGTTGGTGTGTGTGCAGTGTGCAGTGTGTTTATGCATTACGATAGGAGTTTTGAGTTCGACTTCAATTTCCAACGTCAGCGGCTTATCGACCCCCCTTCCCCTTGCCCCTGCCACCACTCCGGCGCTACTGTGCAAATTGAGCCACAGTGGCCACCATCTGGATCCGCCAAATGGCTACTCTTTTGCAGTAGGTGTCATAAATTCATCATTCATTGGCGTGCTCCGCGTGGACGGCATATTGTTTCTTTCTTTTTTTTTTTATTATTATTTTTGTTTCGTATTATTTATGATATCGCTTATTTGATTTATTGTGGCCCGTCACCAATTGCCGAAAACCCAGCCGAATGCAGAAAATGCCCAACTACTTGCGATCATAATACTTGAATATTGTTGTTCGTACATTACCTGGAGCCCAGTCCAGCTGCCGGTCACCTTTTAACTTAAGGCTAATCGCCGTTCCAATAATAATGAACACTTACGCGTCATTATTGCTACTTAATGCTTATTAATTGATTTATTCGAATGAAACTTTCATTTAGATTTATGATTGTGTGAAAAGGTTTTTTACAACCACCCATTGGCTGGATCAGTTATTTTTATTTTTATTGTACATTAACAAAATAAAGCCTTCGCTGACTCAATTGCCCCAGATGAGCATCATTAATACGAATAACAACATGTTCTTAATGTTCATACAAGTTATGTTTATAAAGCTCTCAGCTTGACGTTTTTTACTTATCAGATTCTGGTTTATTGGATTCAATAAGTATAATTTAATATTCAGTGCAAAGGTATTAACAAAGGTATCCCATATGTAATTGGAATCGAACAGTTAGCTCAAAACCTATTAGAATCTAGTTGTAGAATAAAAGGATTACATACTTAGCACATACTTACATACTCTTGCATTGGGAGGGATGTGAGCTCTAATTTAGCTCCAATATGATTTTGCAGCTTTACCAAAGATTCAGCTTGCATATCGCCAAACTGGGGCAAATTATTTGAAAGGCTAATTGAAAAAACCTGCTTATGTTGATTTATGAAGGAAAAGCGTTTTCCATGAATATGCTATTGCATATTTATCTTTAAATGGCATACCTTGGGGATTTGTTACATTTCTTATATTCGAGCTAAACGGAAAACAATTTTCTGCTCATTCTCTACAATTGGCCATAACTGTTTGACATGTCTTTACGAGGGAAATTTCCTTAAAAAAAATCTACTAAAACTAGTCAAACCCCCGAATACAAATACAGCATACACAATTCCCGTACCACCCACAAATACATTTTATTTTCTTACCTAAGATAAAGTCAAACCCGCTGTCAGGATAATCCCAATATTTTCAAACAAACCTATTAGCCACATTAAATCCTTCTATGGAAAGGGCAGAGATTATTTTCATCATCGTCGGCTTTAGCCACGGGGCGCATGTCAAATTATGAATAAAATGCAAAATCACGCAAAGAGCAAAAGTCAAAGGCACGGCCCAAAAAAAAAAAAACACACACACACACACACAATGCCCACAATGATTATGGTTAGGCTCGAACCCAGAGAGCGAGGGTCTTCGTCTCTCACACTGATTAGCTGCGACAGCTAGAGATCAACGCCAGGGGATCACTCAGCCCAAAAAGTAACCACAACAAATGCCAAGGCAGCTAACTGAATGACGCTTTCTTTCTTATTCTTTGCTAACCTCGTCTCTGCTCTCCGCCCTTACCTTCCAGCACCGAAACTACCTGCCAACATGAGCAACATGCACGATTACCAGCTGAATGGTCACCTCGACATGTGCCGCGCCGGCAACGTTGGCGGCAGCGCTGCCGTCTTGCCCATCCAGAATCCACTGCTGCTGTCAAACAATGCGGCCGCGGGCAGCGCATCCAGCGGCCTGGGCGTGGGCCTAGCCAGCGGCAACGGTGCTGCCGGTGCCAGTGCCGGGGTTGGCCTCAGCGGCTGCAGTCTATCCTCCACGAACAACTCGGGCCGCACCAACTTTACAAACAAACAGCTGACCGAGCTAGAGAAGGAGTTCCATTTTAATCGCTACTTGACGCGCGCTCGTCGCATCGAGATTGCCAATACGCTGCAGTTAAACGAGACGCAGGTGGGTTACAGTTGAAACAAATTTCTTATTCTAAATTCAAATTCTGATGACACAAGCTGAAAGTGCTAAAAGAACACAGGCTAGAGAGATTTTAAATTAATAACAAAATACAGCATAAGTCGAGTTCAACTAGATATCTTTGCATATCAGAAAGCTTTTAATGCTTTCAAGTTCCTTTAAAACAGTCAAAAATGATCAAAGCTTTGAAACCTGATGTGACTACTGAAAAACAGGCACTTAAAAGTTGAATTTATTTATTCGTATTTCGTATTTGAGTTTTGATTATTAAAGCTTTCATCTGCCTTCAAAGCTTTCGACATTAATCAAAGCTTTTAATGCTGAAAAACTGTCAGCTAAAACAGCCATTTTTTCACTTCCTACTTGAGTTTGAATCATTAAAGCTCTCATGTGCTTTTAAAGCTGTCAAAAGTAATTACAACGTAATAGAAAAGCAAAACAAATGAAAAAATATTGGCTAAAGCAAGTGAATATCACCATCAATTTGTGAAAAAGTCTAAGCTTTCACCCAATAATCAATCATTTAATATGGACAGACATAAACGCAGATAGCAAACGACCGGAAGTTCGGTCACCTACATTGATTAATGAAGCTGCCTAGTTTCGCACCAAAGTTGCCCATAATTAATCCAAGCCACATTCAACTAGTGTCACTGCCACAATATCAAGCTCGAATCAAACTTATATAAATTTCCAATCAACAGGTCAAAATATGGTTTCAAAACCGCCGCATGAAGCAGAAGAAGCGCGTCAAGGAGGGTCTCATACCGGCGGACATTTTAACGCAGCACAGCTCACCCGTGATAACTGAAAAGCAGCCACAGCAGCAACAGCAGCAACAGCAGCAACAGCAACAACAGCAGCAACAACAACAACAACAGCAACAACAACAACAGCCCGAGTTGAAGGCTTCCGAATTGGCCAGCAATGAGCTGCCAGCAACAGCAGCAGCAACAACGGCCGCAGCCAAACAGAGTTGAACAATTTCCATTGTTGCTGTTGTTGCTGCTGCTGTGGTGGTTGCTGTTGTTGTTGTTGTCGTTGTTCTTGTTTTTTAATATACCCTGTACACAAATGTATATAAAAAAGGGCTTGCTGGTTTTATGCAAACAGGCAGAAGGAGTTATCTGCGACCTCATAATGCCGAGTCTACCAAGCTCCCCCTACTTGTCTATCTGTCAGTCATTCTGTTTGTCCGTCTGTCTGTCTGAATGCATCAAGCTCAGAGAGTATTGGAGTTTAAGACTTCAAGTTTGAAAAGTAGCTGCATTCACAAACTCGATCAGCCACGATTTAAGATTGGATATTTTGATTTGGTGCACTACAAATTAAGTGTGTAGGTATAAAGCGATCAAGAACATTTTTAGAATTTTGATACTTTATAAAAGAAACACAATTTTTGGGGCATAACCCACTTATTTGAAGGCCACATCTAATCCTTGGAAATTAATTATAAAACGAACTATTAACGGCTGAGTTATTCAAGGGAATGGAGAAGCACAGTGGCAAGGATCTCGGTGTCGTGTACAGGGTATCCCCTGGTCGGACGCAACCGACTAGCCCACTCTTGTTTTTTGTTGTTATTAATGCTGTTGTGTGAGAATTGCCAAATGTCGAGCGCATTTTGTTGTGATAAATAAGTAATTAAAAAAAGGCAAAAAGTAAAAAAATAAAAACAAAACAAATATAATAAACCTTAAATTAAAAATATTATGTCGTACGTGTAGCCAATTAAATGAATACAAAAATGTGCATACTAAATCAATCAATTCATTTGCAATTTGTACAAATCAACAAATCAACAAATCAAATACTAGCATCTGTAGAATCGAGGCGTCACCTTTGTTACGGACCTGTAAAAATACTAACTAGCCGTTGATGCTGCAGCTGAATGTTAGACTAGCATAAACTAAACTCAGGGTTATATATTACTACTTTCATACACCTAACTGTAGCACGCCGAGAAATTGACTTTCAACAAAAAAAAAAACAAAGAAAAACACAAACAAAAGAAAACGTTTAACTAAATCAAAATCTGTACGTAAGCTACGATGGCTAGAGGAGAATCGCAAGCTATAACTATATAGCTCAATCGGAAAGACATTGCATTATAATGTACTCGTACTTGTGTAATCGTATGTAGTATTATTATTGTTTAACTGTAAGCAATGCCTTCTACAACACAAGAACAATAGTTATTTATTTTGTGTTTGAATAAGTTGGTATTCAATCTTGATGTATCTACCATATTAATAGATATATTCTAGTCCTAACTGTAATATAATTATAACTGTACAACACAAAAAATATATAAATAAATAAAATTATTTGAAAATTGTTGATCTTTAAATAACATCTGAAAACTAAAACTTCCAGCTTAGTTATAAATTACATATGTTGACAATAAATCAGAGCTCGTATAAGATTTATATTTTCCAAAAATGAAAAACAGGCCTTTTTTTCCCAAACATAAGTTTTATGCTGCAATAACTGTCCGTTCATGAAAAACAAATTTTCAATGACATTTGTCCCACAGACATTTAATTCTTATCAATATAGTTTTGATGAATTAGGGGATTACAAAAAGACTGTATCACAGAAGTTCGCTTAAATCACATGTGTACAAAAATTTTAATTTTTTTTATTTTTTTTTGGGTATTTGCCGCTAGGCTGGCTACTTTGAAATTTTGACTAATTAGAAAACATTATAAAAACAGCAAAATTAATCAAATGCCTTCATCAAAGTCGGTTTGCATGCTTGATAGATAGGATTTTAAGACTACATTAAAAATTGCTGATGCATCGAACTCTATAAAGTACCACATGATTATTACTATATTTGCATGAAAATATCAATTTCGGCCATTTACTTAAGCTAAGAATAATTCTGCATCATTACCTTAAAAATTGCGTTTTTAAGTAAATAAACGATATGTATATTATTTGACCTGACTCTCAGTCTCTTTCTGTCTCTCTCTCTTTCTCTCTCTTTCATTTTAATCATTATTTATTCGCCTGACGTTATTTTAATCCGCTTTGTACATATTTCGTTCTGTTAATTAACATATATAGTCTGGTTTCCTCCCACTTACATTAAAGACTCTAGCCGGTCATCCAGTTATTTGGTTATTTGAATATTCCCGCGGCATACTATCGAGTAGAAACAATGTGACATATATCGATATATCGATTTCACCACATAGTGCCAGGGCTGCAACCATTTGCTTTCAATTTAAAAAAAAAACCCATTTAAGCAAATCAACTAACCAAAATTACTTCTGATTAATCAATACCAACTTCTTAATAGTAAGCAGACAAATTAAATACGAAAATGGTTAGAATTAACTTTTCTTCTTCAAAGTAATATTGGTATATATATAATACCTCAACTGGCATTTTTGCAGTACCAAACAGCGGTAACACTGTATTGCGAATAAACAACTTTTAAATATAAGAAACTCGAAATGTGGATATCGGAGAATTTACGGGTCTCCTTGACGCCACTACAAGAAGTTCCCGCAAATATTAAGTATGGTTTTATAGACACCAAATTTGGAAGGATTTTGCTTGGATTGACACCGATTGAAAAGGACGGCAAAACCTGCGACGCAATTTGCCTGTTGTATTTCGTGCTGAAGGAAGATAACAAGAGCTTGGAGGAAGTGCGTCGACGTTGGCCCCAGGTGGAGCTTGTTGCGGATGAGCTGGCCATTCAAAAGCACAGTAAACGGCTGTTTTACGAAAACGTAAGCACTACTGCCGCCATCGATGTTGCAGTTCTGGGCACAGATCTACAGTTGGCTGTGTGGGATGAATTGGTCAAAATGAAAACCGGCAGCACATGCACCTACGCAGAGCTGGCTGTGCTGGCGGGCCGTCCCAAGGCTGTGCGGGCCGTGGCCAGTGCTGTGGCAAAAAACGAGGTATCGATTTTAATACCCTGCCATCGCATTATCTCCAAAAGCGGCGCGGTAAAATATGGATGGGGCGCTGATCTGAAAAGTGTCTTACTGGAATATGAAGCAAATATTTCGTAAATCGAACGGTTATCGGTTATTCATTTGGTTAGATAAGTATTTAAAAAATCGTTTATTGAAATTCAGCTCCGGACTCTTTAATTTGAACCTAATGTGTTGTTCTTCTGTGTGGGGGTGTCTTATAACAAAACAAAGTACAAATGCACATCATTTTGTATAGATCAAACTGAAATGCAAACAGGCTCGAGATTGTGCAACATCATCCCTGGCATCACTATGCGCGCAGATCCTACTTAAATTGTAACTACATATATAGACGGCTTCTATTCTCGATGCAGCAGAACAAATATTGCCAGAATCGAGAGTATAGCCCACTGTAAAATGAAAGACGCACAATTATTGGATAGCTCACAGCGCGGGCAGAGAGAAGAGATTTTCAACTCACCTTAACTTTCGGATATTCGTTCATGAAAATTGTGATGATGCCCACGTAGGGCAGGAACCCCCTAGCACGCCCCACAATATCCTTTTTGGTTAGCCATAGCTGACCTGGCGCATATAGTCCTCGATCATCCACATTGTTGTTGTCGCCCTTGGTCAGGAACTTGACCGTGCCGTCTTCCCTGTTTGATACAATTTTCAATGAATTACTTTGCACACACACTCAAACAGTATAATTGGACGCACTTTTCGTGCAATTTAATGACACGATGCACAATGGGTATGTCCCGTCCCTCTACTTTGAACACCACAATCTCGCCCACGCGGACTGGCTCCTCCTTGTAGTTGGTGAGGAACAGCAGATCACCCCGATGAAATGCCGGCTCCATACTGCCGCTCAGCACGACCACAATTGGCGATTCGCTGCCGGTGACTACCATAAGGCCTTTCCATATCATTAGCGCCGAGGAGACTATCATGGCAAAGCTAAGCACTTGATAGAGCGACTAAAAATGGTTCAGTTTATATTTAGTATTTAATTAACAGGCGGCGTCTGCGGCACTTACCTGGCGTTTGTTCATTCTGTTAAAATCGCCCAGCATTTCATCTACTTGCAACATGCTAGCTAAGCCCATGGTTGCGATTTTGTAATTGCTCCGTTTTAATAAACAATTTGTAAAGCTAAATGGAAGCTTAAGCTAACTTGCAAAATTACAATTTGAGGTCTAGTTCCACGAAGACAAAAAATGACAGGTTGTATAGCGGCGGACGGACGAAGCGTTGGTCCGACACGTCAGTAGGGATAGCAGTGTAACCAAATCGTACAAGTACTGAAATTCCAAAACTGCATGCAATAAATACTAGAAACGCATGTAAATACTAACGAAGTTTGGGGTTAGCTAACAGACTTTTTGTGCGATAGGTTTCTTATCGCTATCGAATCGACTGTGTTACCGCATTACAGAATCATGTTAAGCATAACAGCTTGTAGAACTTCGATTTATTTCACGATATGTTGAAATATATATATATGTATATATATCGGTGCCGGTGTGCAAGCGTTGTTCACATATTATAAAAAGTAGAACATAAGAAAACTAAATCTAGAATGGGTGATAAACTGTTAGATACTACACAAATTATAAATGGCTTGGCTGTGATGATATCATTTTTCGTTGGCTACAAATATGCCCTAAAACGTGGGGAAGCGTGCGCAAAAATTGACGACACTCCGTCAACAGAGACGCAGGAGGGAGGCGCAGCTGCCGCAATAGCTGACAAGGTGCGTGAAAGAGAAGACAACTCGCTGAACACCGTCTGACATAAGGCGAACTTTATTTACAGACCTATGGCGGCTTTAACGACAACTACAAAATGGTGCTGGTCGTGCGCAACGACCTGAAGATGGGCAAGGGAAAGATTGCCTCCCAGTGCTCCCATGGAGCCGTTGGTGCATACCAAAGGGCTACGACCCGTACGCCACGCCTGCTGCGTGCCTGGGAAAGCTGTGGTTGTGCCAAGATTGCAGTTCGCGTCGAGAGCGAAGCCGAACTGATGGCCATCAAGCGGGCCGCGGAGCAGAGGCAACTCAACACATGCCTCATACGCGATGCTGGACGCACACAAATCGAGCCCAATTCAAAGACTGTGCTGGCCGTCGGTCCCGCTGCGGCAATTGACATCGATCGGGTGACCGGCCATTTGAAGCTATTGTAATCCAATACCCAATGCTTTGCAAGCTGCCATTGCGAGTGCAGACAGAAACATATAAAACCCCAATTCGCGGAAAGCAATATAGGAGCATGTGGTGTGCGCAACCACAGCGCCGACTGTGACATGCAAGTTAATTTAGGACCCATACCTTTATTGCGTTTATCTGTAAACTGAGCTATTACATATTAAATTCTTTATGATGCTTTTTTAATTGAGCTCAAGCCTTTCTTTTCGTTCAATTCTGTTGACCCCTTTTGCCCTCGCCACAATCCTCTATGGCCTCCTTTGGCACCTCCAACCACTTATCGGGTATTACCTTGAACAATTCATCCTTTACATCGCCCTGTATGACAATCTCATTGTCGCCGGTCACCGACGAGCCGCAGGCAAACTTATTGCCAAAAAACTTTGCCGCGGCACGTAAATCGATCTTGAATGCGCCCAGGCCAGCAACAATGGTCACCCGCTTGTTCTTGCCACGCATTGTGCACGAAAGTCGAATACGTTTGGGTGCATCATCGTCGCTGTTGTCCTTCTTGATGCGCAGCAGTCCTTTTCCGCCGCGCTTCTGGCGCTTCTTTTCGGCATCCACACTAGAAGCCGCATCATCTTCGGCCTCTCTCAGCTGCAGTTTCTCATAGTCTTCGGGATAATTCTTTGCCAGCCACTCCTTGCATTTGTCATACTCGGAATAAAACTCACAATACTCGATGGGCATGGAACAGTGTCCGCAGTACTTGACCGCAATGGGATATGTGACCTCCACTAAGCCAAGGCACTCGCCTGTATTGGTTTTATTTATGGCAGGCTCCTTTGTAGCATGCATTGTAATTTAAAACCGAATGAATTTATTATTATTTTTTTTTTTTTTGGAAATTGATATTATTTACGTAACTTGCTTTAACAAACTTTTGCTCCGATTTCCACTTGGTAGCAAATATAATTCCGCACAAATAATTCAACCCATTTTGCAAAACAATCCGAATACTATAGATGAACTCCGGTTGAAAGTAAAGAAAGCATTTATCGATATTATAAAAAATTACATTACATGATTCAACAGAAGTTGGCTTTATACTTATATACAAAATTAAACGGCGAAAAATACATTTATTCGGTTGCAAAAAAAAACAGGCAATCAATTTTGGAAATTACTATATTCCTATTAAATAAATACAAAAACCGAATTGCAGAGTTAATTTCAAGAATAATCAATTATTTCTAAGATATATCAACTTTTCATTGAATCTCGCAATCAATCTTTACTCAAAAATAGAAACATTAAAGAATTATTGGACTTTTAATTGAATATTAAAATTATAATTTATAAAGTTCATTTTGCTAAACACTTTTAACTTCAGTTACGCCGAATGTTTTAGTTGCACTCGTTTTACAGCATTTATAAATTTATAAATCTAGAAGAAAATTTTGTATGTTGAAAATAGAAATTGTTAAGCCTTGCTCAGACAAGAAAAAAACATACTTATATAAACTGCAATTGTCGTAGACAATCAATTTTGAAAAAATCATTCAATATATCAAAGTTAATGTTTATAAAATAAAATCCATTTGAATCTAAAAAGTCAGCCAGTCGTAATCATTTTCGCCTTGTGACGGCGGCTGCTCTGTCTGCTGTTGCGTATTTGGTTGCTGGGCGTGCAGCTGCTCGAGCTCCTGAGCCGGCTGGAAGTCCGACTGCTGCGGCTGATAGTCAACAGGCTGCACTGGCTCATTGGATGCATCCAGTAGATATATTTGCGATGGTTGCGAAGATTGTTGTTGTTGTTGGGCAGCCAGTTCGGCATCATCGAAGACCTCTTTCTTAATGCGCACACCGCCATTGTCCTCATCGTCACTATCGGATATGTCCAGATCCTCATCGATGCCCATGCCATTGTCATTGCTCGTGGAGGGCATATCTTCTTCCTGTGCAGACATGTTGGCGGCTGCAGCAGCACTGGTGCTGGCCTCGGGCGGATTATACTGTCCACTGTCGTCCTGAACCTGGGACATAAAGTCGGAGAAGGCGCCCTGTGCATTGTAGCTTTCGCCCAAGCTTTGACGCGGCTTGTGCATGGCCAAAAAGTCCGAGGGATCATAGTTGGGATCTACATCCATAGATTCATCTGAAAAATCGAATGAACAACAATTAGCTACGATCATAGACGGGCTTCAGAAAGGTTATTCGAAATAACAAGACGTGCGCTTTTACTATGACTATATTAAAAATAATAACACTGAATAGGGCAAGAGAATTTGTGGGTAATATGAACCTTGCTGCTGTTGAGCGTAGTAGCCAATGCCACTCAACTGCACCATAGCTTCAGCCGCTTGCTGGCTGTCATCCTCGCCGCATTGCTCCTCTATTATTAAACCAAAAGTAAATACGTGAATGTAGAAACAGAATCGAAGCACACAGATGAAAACATTTAGATTGAAGATTTAAAGTTACATAAAATTACATTACAAATAGATAATCAGATATATTCAAAGAAGAAAAACACACAAAAACACACAAAACTGTGCACACCTGAGCATCGTTGCCCAATTAACCCACCTGCCATCTGCTGTGCATCAATGTCGACCTCTGTCTTGATGTTCTTCGGATCAATATAGTCCATGGTATCGCTGGGCGCATGCATGCGCTCGCCCTGATCCAATATGTGGGCTGCATTATTCTCATCTTCGGACACCTCCTGAAAGTCCTCCTCATCATCTTCATCATCGTCTGTGGAGCATTGCAAATCTAATATTTCGGTTACGAGAAATGAGAAGGGCATTTATTAATATTGGAATGCTTTCAAATGATATTTAACCAAAGAACTGAAAGAAACTTTAATGCAAAATTAAAATTAAATTAAAAATTAAATGAACCAAATTGTATTAAATATTTTTAGAAAGGTATGCATTTTTAAATAAAAAAATAATCATTGAAATGGACATAAATTCAAAATGTTTTTCGGGAGTGTGAAATTCCCTAAAAAAATCTTGCC